TATTGATAGTTCAGAATATTATGAGGAAAGAGAAAATCCTAAAAGTTTTCAGAAAATGGGAAAAACTGATTCATTAAAAAGGATAAAAAGTAAGAATAGCTGAAGACTTCTCTACAGCAACACTGGAAACTCAAACAATTGGAAAAAAAATGCCTTCAACATTCTGCATAACATTTATTTTCAATCTTGAAATCAATATCCAGTCAAACTATCAGTGAAGTGAGAAGATAGACTAAAGTCAAGGTAGATCTTTGTGGGTCTAGAGAGAAAAATGACTAGAGTTAAGACAAGTCAGGAAGGCCTTGGAAGAGGTGCTCTAAGATTGTGAAGTTGGTAGAATATTTGATGTAGATTAAGTATCTTATCATTTGATTGTTCTGAGAGAAGATTTAAACAACCACAGAATAGTTTGGAGCCATTTAGTGGTTATTTAGAAAATTAAGCAAAACTTGGGAAACTAAGTAAGCAAGGAGGGGTAGAGAAGGAGTCCAAACAGGAAAAGTAGTATAGATCATATTCCTCAGATGTTCATGGATCTCAACTCTAGACAACATTCTGAATGTTGAACTCTTCTCTAAGTAAAATTATCATGTAGCCATAATGGGAGGATGATCGGGACATGGAAAGTCCTGAGTGTGTTCAGTGGTCAAGTCTATGAAAGAAAGCCTAATTCTCATCATCTAACATAGTAGAAATTTAATTATAATGCCTACAAATGAGAAATCAATATATGATGTCATATATTGATCTTATGCAAATAAGTATCCAAAAAGAGCTAAAAGATTTTAAACTGGCTGCCTTAGGCAAGCAGAAAATGATTAGCCAGAACTAATATTTTGTACAATTAGCCTTGCATAATTATTTAAATATAAATAGAAACCCTAACATTTTCATACCACTCTCACCCCAGTGAATTATTTTGTACATAATTGGAGACCACTGGTTTAGCTCATGCTGGTTCATGTATGCATTTTTAGTAACCAAGATTGCAAATGTTCAATATGCCCCTGGAATCTGCAGTCACAGCCACCAGGTGGCGATAGTGAGTTATATCTGGACCTGCAAGATTTCTGTTCTGAAATCCCTTGAGCACCACCAGTGTGATGATGTCATGGGATTCTGCATTTGATCACGTCCTAGACAAAATTCATCAGTCGCTTGGAAGAATTTGTGGAAGGCATATCCACAAGGTCTTAGATGTCATGTATTTGTGTGAAATAACAAGCATAGAATTGGGATTGAATAAAAACAATAGGTTATAATTGCTGTGTTAAAAGCAATATGAAATGTAATCAAGTGTAAAGTCTTAGATGTAGGCTTAAAAACACATAAATAAAAAGTGTTCTGGAAGGTAAAATGGTACAAAGGTAACCACTGACTGGAAACTCAGATACATGGATTCTGGTTTCAGCTCTACAGTGACCAGCTAGGTCACATTTGAGACTCATTTTGGTCTCCTGAAAAATGAGGTCTTTGTTCCACATTAATTTCTAAATACTTGCCTGCACTAAGAGTCCACAATTCTTTTATATATTGGAAAAACCTTTTTATGATTGTGGAAGTTACAAAAAGTATCAAGAGGACAAAAGATAGCCCCAATCCCATTGTTAATATTGTTAATATTTTGACATATTTCATTTTAGTCTATTCCTGGGTACTATATGTATGTGGATATATTTTTATTATAAAAATTTCATCATTCTGTGTATTTAATTTCACATAAGTCCCCCATCGTGAAACATTATAAAACAAGCACTTTCCCATTCAATGTGTCCATGGCAGTGTCCTTCAGTCACCTCAGCATGGGACGTTCCCTCTGGCCGTGTCATCCCCGACTGTCTCCAGCTTCACCCCTCAGATGCTTTGCTTTTCCTCCCTTCTTTGCATAGGAATCTTTTTTTCTCTCCTAAACTCTTAGGAGAAAGTGCACCACACACACACACCAAATTCCTCCTCCACCTATGAGAAATGTAGTGCTTACTTTGTTGTCCTGATATCTGCAAACACATGCTCATAGCTTTCTATTCCAAATTCCTTTTGGACCAGGGTCAAATCCCTTGGTCTCAGGTTGAAACCACTGTCTTAGGCAAAAGGCTAATCTGCTGAGGATCCTCCCTTCCTTTATTTTTGTAGTTTCTGTACTAATAGTTGGCTCAATTAATGGTTCATCTCAGCCTTTCTTAAGAGCTCTATTTTTCTGCCCATTGACCTTCACTACTGTCTCTCTGGTCTTCCATCTTTACCCCTTACTACCACACCATCTCTTCAATCAGCCCGGCAATCACATGCCCTAAGCAAACAAAACAATAGAGCTGACTGCGAGGGGTTCATGTTTACTGGCTAGATAACACAAGTGTTGTACCCCATCCCATCTCCCAACACCTGCATTTAACCCTTAACATGTATTATATTAGCATTATAATTTACTGCAGAATTTAAATTTACTTTGAATTTTTAATGCGTTTCTAAAATTGTCTGTGATATTTCACCTAATGAATGTTTTAAAGGTTTATACATAGGAAAAAGTATGGGAAATCCATAAAGGGTAAAGCATGGCAAATCTATTAGTACTTTCCTATTTTGATTTTTAAATTTTGTATCTACCCATGCATTTTAATCATTATGTTTTATATACACATATATACATCTATATATGCATATATTTGCAGTTAAGAAGGTTTTAATGTGGCAATGAGAACTGTGTAAACACTACATCTTTAAGTTTCCATTCTTATTAATATCCCATTAATTATTCTATCCCAATATTAGTATTCCATTCTAATTAATATCCAAATTATATATCACTTTCTGGTTTCTGTTTGGTCTTTTCTATTTTAAAATAGTTAATATTTTAGCCCTAAATTTCAGTTGCAACTTTACACTACTATAAGAAATTTTAAACTTATTTTGCTATTTTATTTACATACCATTTGTTTTTCAAGTTTTCAGTGGAAACCATTATCATGGAAAATATGAAACATTGAAATATTAGACAAAGGAGACATTTATAAATTATTTTTGGTGAAGAGTAGATAGCCCAGGGGGCTAACTTTTGAATTAATTAGAAAGTAAAAAGCAGGGTGCCTGGGTGGCTCAGTCATTAAGCGTCTGCCTTCGGCTCAGGTCATGATCCCAGGGTCCTGGGATGGAACCCCGCATCGGGCTCCCTGCTTGGTGGGAAGCCTGCTTCTCCCTCTCCCTCTGCCTGCCGCTCCCCCTGCTTGTGCTCTCGCGCGCTCTCTCTCTCTGACAAATAAATAAACAAAATCTTTAAAAAAAAAAAGGAAAAAACAACTTTATCTCTTAAAAAAAAAAGTAAAAGGCAAATTACAATCCAATGCACCTGACCCTACCATGCTAAGTCATTCCCACATCCATGATGATTTCCAATGAGTCTGGGAGAATTGTGTGTTTTTAGAATAATTGGCCTTCCCATGATTTCTCAAAAAGATCTCTCAGTGCATATATCACAGGCAGCATGCCTATCTGTATGAAACAGGGCGATTCTTCTATTTGTATATTTTTAAAATATATCTGTATTCTTTTAAAGGCTGCAATGTGTAGAAAGGTCTGAAACAGGCAAGAATTGATACATGGAGACCCATAAGGAGGCTATTACAATAACCCAAACCAGAGGTAATGGAGACGAACACGGAAGAGTCCAGACATGTTTAAGTAGATAAAATTGACACAGTTTGGTGGGAAGGAAGAGACTGTTTTCAGGGGGGACAAGCAATATAGTATAGTGGCTGAGTGTATGAATTCTAAAGCAAGACCACATGCCTTCAAAATCCAAGTCTGCCGTTTCCAGACTCTGTGACCTCGGGCAAGTCCCTTAACTTTACTCTGTCTCGTGTCTTCATGTGTAAAATGTGATAAATACAGTGCTAACCTCTCTGTATTGTAAGAATAACATCGATTAAACTGTTTAATTTTAATTTAGAACAGTGTTTATTATATACTAAGCACACTGTAAGTGTTTGTAATTATAATGATAATAATGCTATTAGCTTATATAGGTAATCCCGAAGAAGAATTACATTTGAGGAAGGAAATAGTGGGTTTGGTCTTGAACATTTTGGGACTGGAGTTTCACTTAACACATTCAAATTATGTTAAACAGCTAATTGGATATATAGGCCTAAAAGGAGAAATCTGGGCTGAAGACCAGAATTGGTGATATGGTGTATCTCTATTCATTAGTGAAAATATATGAGATTTCCTAAGGATAAATGTTACGGTGAAAAGAGACAGGTGCCCATGACAAAGTTTCAAGAAATTCCAGTTTTTTTTGTTTTTTTTTTTTAAAAGATTTTATTTATTTATTTGAGAGAGAGAGACAGAGAGAGAGAGCACATGAGAGGGGGGAGGGTCAGAGGGAGAAGCAGGCTCCTCGCTGAGCAGGGAGCCTGATGCGGGACTCGATCCTGGGACTCCAGGATCATGACCTGAGCCGAAGGCAGTCGCTTAACCAACTGAGCCACCCAGGCGCCCAAGAAATTCCAGTTTTAAGGAAGGATAAAGGAAAATGAATTGGCAAGGGAGATAGAGAAACAAGCAGAGATGTAGGAGAAAAACTACAAGAATGAGATATCACAGAAGCCCCAAGAAGAGTTTTCCAGCAGGAACAAGTGATTAACTCTTTTGGGTACTGTCAAGAGGTCTACAAAACTGAGACTAAAAAGTATCTTGGGTTGGGGTTTAGTAATACACAGGTTATTGATAATCATAGCAAGTGCCGTTGGGGTGGAGTGAAGGGACAGAAGTCAGGTTGGAGTGGTTAAAGGAATGGAGTCAGTGAATGTAGACAACTCTTTTGAGTAGTTTGGCTGTGAAAATGGCAGTGAGGTAGGGCAGTAGTTTAATTGAGAAGAAGGTAAATAAGGCCGCCTTTTTTCCTTTTGTAAAGATGACTTGAAAATGATTAAATGTTGGTGGCACGGAAGCCAAATATCAAGCAAAGGACCACATGATGTGTAAACTTTTTTCTTGTTGAACAGAACTCAGGCACAGGAACCAAGTATCGAACAGAGAGGGACCACATGATGTGTAAACTTATGTGCTTGTGTATTGCTTACTCTTCTACCATTGGTGGACTGACAACCATCACCGGCACTTCTACCAACTTGATCTTCTCTGAGCATTTCAATATGTAAGTAAAGTTATTGGATTGTTGATTTAATAAATAGGCAGCACGTGACTTACAAGGGTTATTCTTAACTGATTCAGAAAATTCAGGAATGGAAATTGCTATACTGAGCTAATTCTCTTTTGTTTTTCATCAGGACATCTATAGGTCTAGAGACCTTCCCTTCTACTAGGAGTTAAATATGGAGGACATAGTGAATTAACAGGTGCCGAAAGATTCCCCAAGTCAGCTCAGAAGAGGTAACTCCTGGCTGACCATTCTGATCAAATGGGGAAAACATATCTCATTACAAATAATACTGCAAACGATAGTTAACTGAAGTGAATAGGGATTACTTGCATAGGAAAATCTATGTGGGGTTTGGGAACTAGCATTTGAACTTAAAAGATGAGTGGTGCACAAAGGTGCTAATTACAGAAGTCTGCCTAGAATTCAAAAAGATTTGAAGGATTGGGCAATTGCAAGAAATGGCAGTAATAAAGTATTCTAAGAAAGATACATGACTCTAAATATAAGTTTGCAACTGTGATGTTAATCCATTGGAGAACATGGGGAATCTGTGGGTAGAGTCAGATAACTTGGGTTAAAAATTCCACAATTTTGTGAATTTGAACAATAAAAAGTACATTACTCTCCCAAGACTTAAATTTTTCATATCTAAAATAATCACAGTTCAGATGATTATTGTGAGAATTAAATGAAGTAAACTATGTAAAAATATTTGACACTATTTATGAGAGCTCTTGTAAGAACTATTGAAACAATAGTTTGAAAGCCCATGTTTTTACGTGAGGGCTCAAACTGATTCTACACCTGAGATGTATTTTCAAGTACTAGTAGGACAGATCATTGTCGGAGTTCCAGCAGTGTGGGCAGCATTAAGGATGCCCTGGAACAGGATTTACGTCTTTTCACAGAAAAATTAGGGCTCAGAATCAGGAAAACTACATTCTTCAAAGCAGATTCACAGATTTTATGAACTTTCTGAAATTATTTGCAAAATGTTATGCATGCATAGCTTTTTCAAGAAATGTCTCACTCAAAAAATGTCACACTCCATTCTAAAAAGAACAAGAACTGTGTGCAAAGAACAGTGAGTGGTATAGAGGTTTAGGACAATCTAACACAGACCGCCATGTTTATTGATTATTTCTATGATTACACGTCAATCCTGTATTCTCCAACAGTCAACTTAGAAAGGAACCTTAAAAAGGCATCTGGGGGCACCTGGGTGGCTCAGTAGTTAAGTTTCTGCCTTCGGCTCAGGTCATGATCCCACGGTCCTGGGATGGAGCCTCCCCCCACCCCGCCACGTCGGGCTCCCTGCTCAGCCAGAAGCCTGCTTCTCCCTCTCCCACTCCCCCTGCTTGTGTTCCCTCTCTCGCTGTGTCTTGTCATATAAATAAATAAAATCTTTTTTTAAAAAGGCATCTGGTTTATAAGTGGGAGATTTCTGAAATTCACTGTGTCAGAAAGGATGTATCCAATGTATCTCCTAATTCAAGACAGGAAATGTACCTGACCTCTTTAAAAGCTAGACTCCTATCCTTTTTCATGAATTCCCCAAGGAAAGAGACTCCACATTTTGGTCTTCTCGGTAAATCTTTTTCTAAAATTTATACCAAAATTTTATTGTTTTATTCTTGGTGTTAGAGGACTCCTGGTTTCCACCATTCCCATGAGGTTGATGTTGTTAAAGTAATCCTTACTGAGTTTGTCCTTAGTCTGCAGTCTCGTACAATGTATCAACCAAAATTTCTTTCTTTAATTTAACTGTTCCCTTGACTCTTTGGATGCAGTAATCCATTTGCAGTGACAGATTGGGAGCATTGTAGCACTTTAAGCAAAGTGTTTTAGTAACTATTTTCCCTAATTATCCTTTCTTCTAATTCTCCTATCATAGGAAATTGGCCAAATATTCTTTAAATTTAGAAAATGCTTAACATGTACTTTGAAATTTGGTAAAGTCTTTTCTTCAAAGGTTTGCTTTAACATTAGGAAACATTTGCTTTTACTATGCACAAACAGAAAGAAACTCAAAGTATCCCTTCTTGATAGAAAATACTAGAATAGAGGGGGAAAACAACCTTACGTGAAAAAAATATAATTGATGTTATTAAACAAGCCAGATATTTAACTCACTTTTTCTTAAATATTGGCCCTAAAAATACAACAGCATCTCAAAGCAACCATGGAATGAAATGCATTCAATTTCATTGGAAAAAGTGCCAAAAACTTAAAACTACAGGGGGAAAAAAAGATTTATATATTCTTTGTCCAGATGTTTGGACCTGGAGAGAAATTGCTCTTTATTTTCAAATATTCTACAATAATGCCACCTCTTCCTCTTGACACTGCTTGCCATCTTTTCTAAAGTAGTATCAACAGTCACTTTGTATAATTTCATTTTGGATCTTGCCCAGCTCCATGGGTGTATGAATCCTAAGAATCAATGATTTCGCACCATTGACATCTAGAGAAAGGTGCTATCTTACAAACAAACAATGGGAAGAAGAGAATGGATAACACATTTCAAAGCCTTTGTTTATCCATCTATCCACCTATCTATCATGTATAGATATAAATATATTTATATGTGTATATATATGTATATATAATGTCTTTTGTTCTCTTTTTTGCACAAAGAATGTAAGAACAGTGAATTCTGAGAAAGCTAAATTTTATTTGGTGCAAATAAAAACAAACATCCATTCACTCAGTCAAACATTTGTGGAGGACTAATGATGTGCACGGCACTGTTCTGAATTCTTTTGGAGAATGCAAAAAATAAAACTTGCCAGGAAGCTTTGAGATTCTATCTGGTTTTCTAGACAAAATATACATATGTGAAAATCATTAAAATTTTTTAAACAAAATAACGTTTGGTTTTTGACATGTAGGAGAGAAGTAAGGTGATATGTATTGAACTCTTTTTTTTTTAATTTTATTTTATTTTATTGTGTCATGTTAGTCACCTTACATTACATCATTAGTTTTTGATGTACTGTTCCGTGATTCATTGTTTTCGTATAACACCCGGTGCTCCGTGCAGTACGTGCCCTCCTTAATACCCATCACCAAAAATTTTAAATACATTTTAGTGCACACATATTCTTGCCGTGAAGGTGGCATATAAAGGTGAATAAAGCATAAGCTCTGGGCTTAAAATGCCTGTGTTGAAATCCCATCTCTTCCATTTACAAATTAGATGATCTTACTTACTCTCACAATGCGTAAACAGGTGTTTTGCATTATTTCATGAAGGCACTTTTGGTTTCTTGCATGACCTCCACAAGTTACAGAAAATGTTACAGGAAACATTAAATTGCCATTGCATTAGCTTTAAAGTTAAATTCAGGCAGGAAACTCAGCTGTACGAAGAGCTAAATTTTTTTAGAAAAAGTATTGTGAAACTCTAAATGTATTATAATTTATACTTCAAAATAATTCATAAGAAATATGTCCCAGTGTTGTCACAGTCTATAAAACACTCTTAACAGAGGAATAGCCTATTTTCATTGTAGTTTAGTAGAATTACATATTGAAGCACATAATGTATGTTGTATTTCAGTGTATATTATTTCTAATTTAGATGTGAATTTTTGGTTATTCATTAATACTATATCTCTTTGTGTATTATATAATAATGTATTTCCAAAAGTAAAAAAAAAATTTTTTTTGCTTACTTTAAAAAAAAAAAAAGATTACTTACTCTCTTTAGGCTTGTTACCTTGCAAGAAAATGGAATAATAATAAGGTTTCTGTCTTAGAGAGTTGTTTAAAGTTTTACAAAAAATAAATAGTACTTTAAAAAATACCTAGCACAGAGCGTATGCTCAATAAATGTTGGTTATTACCATTAGAGTTGAGAAAGTTGAAGTTCAGCCTAGCAGACTGAGGTCCAAACCATGGTCATTCAAACCCTAAGTCTGTCTCCCTAAAAGATTACCTCCCTAAAAACATTATTGAACATATCCTAAAAGAGGACTGTAGCTGTGTGTAGCACCCCTCGATCACTAGAGAAAACTTGTCTGTACAATATGGCCCAATTTAAAAGCGGTAAACACCGTACTTATGGAGAAAATGAATGAAAAAAATTCATAAAATCAAAACACAAAAGGTTTGTAATAATTATTTTTTAGGGAGGCAGTAAAATAGTCTGGATTTTCTTTTCTTTTTCTTACTGTTTAGAATAGCAACGTGCAGATTGATTGCCATTCTACGAGTCTGGGGACAGGAAACCAATCAGGAGTCTGTTACCAAAGTGCTGACAAATTATAAGGGGCAGAACTAAGCTAGTTATGAAGTGATAGGATTTAGACTCAAGACACTGTACAGGCAGAAAGTGGTGAGCAATTAGGTGTGGGTATTTAAGGGCAATGAGGGGTTAGGGCAAGTCTGGGAATTTTTGCCAATATGGGCTAGATGGTGATGCCATGAACTTCTTGGCTCACTGGAGAAATTAACAAATTTGATTTTAGATATATTAAAATGGCCTTCTAAGAGCCTACCCATGAGATTTTCAGTAGACATTTACAAATGCATTGTTGTAGTTAAAAATTTGAGGGCTATATATATAAACACAGAAATTAGCATCTTGAATGTAGAAATGGTCAATGGGGACAAAAAAGTTGAAAGAATCAAAACATGGATAGACCTGTGGGAAATATTGACAAGAAAGAAGATGAGAAAAGTTCATCAAAGTAGGTAGAGAACCAGGAGCATGTGGTGTTTTGAAAGCTAAGTAAGACCATTTTCAAAACGGAGGATTAGTCAGGAACAAGCAGTGTGGCAGATGGGTCAAGTAGGATGATGGCTAAGAAAAGGCTTGGTTCTTATCAGTGTCCTCCAACAAAACACGTGGGAGACAGGGCAGAATTTAGACTGGAGAGAGTTTTAAGATGTGAGTAGAAGCGGGAAGGGGAAAGCCGCTAATTTAAATGATTCTTTCAAATTTGACAAAGCAAAGAAGAAAAGAACAAGCATGGTACGACCAGACGCAG